TTGTATTATATATATATATTACACAGAATGGTCGTATCTGTGAGTGTGTGTATATATATATATGTATATATGTGTATGTATGTGTGTATGTATGTATGTATGTATGTATGTATGTCTGTCTGTATGTATGTCTGTATGTATGTCTGTATGTATGTATGTATGTATGTATGTATGTATGTATGTGCGTATGTACGTATGCACGCATGTATGGGTGGATGGATGGATGGATGGATGGATGGATGGATGGATGGATGTATGTGTGTGTATGTAAGTGTGTATGCATGCATGCATGCATGCATGCATGCATGCATGCATGGATGTATGTAATACGTACAGACAGACAGACACACAGACATTCTGTATATCGGGTAAAAAATCATAAATGCACTCGAGTATCACCCCGAGAACAGCCTGGACCTGGGCTTCATGCCAGCGTGTAGTCGTTCGGGGCTTGCTTGACGCTTCCAGTGTTTAGTTCCGGAAGGCTAGAGCAGAGAGCACACGTATATGGTAGCTCTTTGATCAGGCGCCTCATTTTCATAGACCCTTTTCCCAAGTAATTACCAGAGTGGCCGGATCTCTCATAGATGTCCTTGTCGGGGTCTATTCTCCAAGGGTCCTCTGAGCTTTGAACGCTACATCACCCCAAGCTCTAAGAGACTCTACAGCCAGTTATATTCATTCAAGCTCGTCTCTGGCATCGCTTCCAGATCGACACGCTTCTTGCTTTTCCAGCAGTATCAACCACATCCTACTGGCAGCCATTCAATACTGGCGGCATGGTTGTGTAATTGTCATGAGCACTGTTTTTGCGTGTGACTTACTTGCATGGCTTCTCAGTTTCGGGAATTGTTCGCAAGGTTTGAGGACAAGGCTTCGTCGAGGCAGCCTTAGGATGACGGCGTGGGTTCCAGGATTTGGGGCTTAGCCATGTGAGTAGTTCTGGGGTTTAGGGTTTTAGGGTTTCTCTACGGTACCCTTAGGAAAAGGACCCTAGGCCCCAAAAGTGACACTAGTTTACCAGAGAACTGCCTATTTGTTCATGAGGCTGCCGAGGTTCGGCTGCTTGGGGTATTGTTTGTCCAGGGCCCCAGGTTCAGGCGGTGAGGTTCAATTAGGGTTTACGGCCCAGGGCCTAGGGTCTGGGTTTAGGGTTTAGGTTGTCGGTTAGGGTGCTTATAAGACTTAAGATGTATAAGGTATTCAGGTATCCGTGTTTTCTGAAGTCTATGGCATCCAACGTGCGGATCAAAGTGCATACTGCGCCGGCAAGTTGTTACGGTTCCGAGTTCCATTTATGATTCCCCCAGTCAAGGCTCACACGCATTGAACCCTAAACCCTAAACCCCTCATTGGGCCGACAGCTGTTTAGCTTCAGATTTGTTGCAAATTTGTAAGTAGGAGATCAGGAGATCCTGCCACGAGACACGAGACATATCAGCCCTGCAACCCCCTCACCACATCCGTGTGATTCACGGCTTCTTGTTACCCAGTATTGCCGTCAAAAGGACGCCCCAATCGGATATTTTGATAATTATAGGGGTTGGCATATTCTGTAATGGTATCCCCTTCTCGTACCTCCTAGACACACCAAAATTCAAAAGCTCATCTGCTGCGAAGCTATGGTGATTTCTGTGACCGTTTGCCTTCTCAGTGGCGAGGCTGCGACTGCTCCTTACAAAGAATGTACGGAATATAGGGTTTAGGGGCTTACGGTTTAGAGTTTAGGGCCTTTAGGGTTTAGACTTCAGGGCCTTTCCAGTTGAGGGTTTGCGGCCTTTGGGTTTAGGGGTGAGGGTTATGGGGGGTTTAGGGTTGAGGTTGAGGGTTGCTCCTCACTCTAACCTGGTAGAGGAGTTCTTGTTGAAAGCAAGAGTCTTCGAGTCTGCGACTGCTAAAGAAGTCAGCCCGAAACCGTCCGCAGGTCCAATGCAGTAGCAATCACAGACTTGCCTCAGCAAGCACATCTCCGCAATCGCGAAGCATGTCCAAATCTGTCCCAAGTTCTGCTCAGGTTCTAAACCCTATAAACTGCCTAGTGGAATACGCTTTCCCGGATCTCCGAGGCAGAAGGGTGCGTCCTGCAAACAAGCTTTGGAATCCTGCACCCAGACCTGAATCCTAAATCCAAAACCTAAAACCTAAATCCTACAGGTTATAGGGTTTAGGGTTTAGGGGTGTAGGGTTTAAGGAGTATAGGGTTTAAAGGGTTTAGGGGTTAGGGTTTAGGGGGCTTAAATCTGAAGCCTAAATACCAAGCCCAAACCCTGAGCCAAGGTATCATTGGAACCTAGTAGCTCCGTGGAGACTCTCCGGGCAAAAGCGCGGCAGGCTCTCGGACGGGGTGTCGGCAAGCTGGTGTCTTCTGCAGGACCGCGCTTGAAAGGGGGCTTTGGGCTTGGAAATGTTAGGGGTTCACATAGTGGCCTGAACAATTGCCTACATTATTTTGTGGTTCCTTATTGCAATTATAGTATAATAAGTACCATATTCTAAGCGCGCTAATTATTATTAAGGCCTCCACATTAGGCTTCGAAGGCTTTAGACCTAACCCTAAGCCCGAAATCTTAAAATTGCTCTACAACCCAAAGCCCTAAATCCTGCAAACGGACGAGTTCCCTGCGGTGCGACTTCGTCAGCTGGGCGGGTGGGAAAAAATCCTGCAAACTAGATTTGAGGCATATAAAAAAACCCTAAACTTGCGACGCAGACCCCGAGGTAGCTTGCTTCGCGGGCCAGGCAGCTTAGCAGAGGCTGGTGTGCAAGATGGCGACACCATCACCGTGGTCACGCAGAAAGTGTCGTTACGGGCTACAGACGCTCTGCAAGTGCGATGTTCTGCTTGGATGACGTCTCTATCCCTCACTCTCTCTGTCGTTCTCTCTTTCTCTCACTCTCTGTCTGTCCGTCTCTCTCTCTCTCTCTCTCGCTCTTTGTTGCTTTCGTGCTGTCTCGCTCGCTCGCTATCAATCGATCGCTCGTTCTCTTTCTCTCTCTGTCTCGCTCTTTGTTGCTTTCGTGCTGTCTCGCTCGCTCGGTCGATCGATCGCTCGTTCTCGCTCTCTCTCTCTCTCTCCCTCTCTCTCTCTCTCTCTCTCTCTCTCTCTCTCGCTCCCGCTCTCCCTCTCCTTCTCCCTCTCCCTCTCTCTCTTGCTTATGTTTCTAATTTTCTCTTAGTATAGTTGGTATTAACATGTTGCAGATAGATGGGCAGCTGTATTTTTCAATTTGCTGCTGCCATTGCCTTGATTCGGTTTTTGCGAGTACAGAGACTGTCAAGCACCGTCGTCATACTTTATCCTTATCTGTTCTCGTTCCCTATCGGAGCCCTGGAAGCAAGGAAAGTGCTTTTGCCTGCATCCGCGCAGATGGCTCGGTGGTCACCTGGGGAGATCAATTTGAAGGTGGCGATTGCAGCCATGTCCAGGACCAGCTGCAGGATGTGCAGGCAATCCAAGCGACCGCGGCCGCATTTGCGGCCCTCTGTGCCGATGGAAGAGTCGTATCTCAAAGTGTCCTCAGCAAAGCTTTGTGTTCTTTCATTAAAAGCTGTTCTTGGCTACTCGACCCCTGCTTCTTGACCCTTACTACAGGATCTATATTGTCGGAAGGGCTATAATTCAAGAAGGATTCATATCCCCATACAGTCTCAACCTTATTCGAACCTCCGTCTATTAATTAATGCCCCTCCCTACACTAGTTGCAATGGACCCTGACCGGAGGTCACCTGGGGCAACCCAGAATTCGGCGGCGACAGCTCCACGGTCCAGTGGCGCCTCCTTGAGGTGAGCCAAATTCAAGCGACGAGTGGCGCCTTTGCCGCTCTCCGGCCACTCGTCGCGGGATTTCGGGCTGAGGGTTTGTCCTTTTCACAAGGAGTTGTCGCTGGAGCCGGTTGTGTTATTTCGATGTGGCTTCCAGGACGTCTTTTGAGGCAGGACGGGTGTCGCTTGATGTTGCCACTGTAACACCCCCCAAACCTCGATGCTAGCATTCATGCCAGCATGACACCTTGACAACTTCTTCCTTCAAGAGCCAGCAACCAGGAGCAATGACCTTACGAGCTCCTTGATGTGGATGTGCACTCAAAGGGGCCCTTGTTTTGTGGTGCTTACCTTGTTCTGCAAGAAAGCTGTGAGCGGAGTCAGTGATGCTGCAGAAGAAGCAGTAGTCCCGTGTATCGCCGAAGTGCGCATTGGCCTTCCTGTGATGCTACTTCCCGACTAGAAACCGGACTGCCGTGCTTGCCGTTGCTTGCGCGGGGGTTTTGGAGCCCTGAACCCCTAAACCCCTCTTGTGCGAGTGTGTGAGTCGAAACCCCTAAAGGCTGAACGTGGGCCACCTAGCAACTAGCTGGGCTGCCAGTCCCTGATGTTACAGTAGCAAGCACGGACCTTCATCAGCCATGCCAGCCTTGTGCGAGTGTGTGAGTCGAAACCCTAACCTTATAAGCTCATACACCCTACACTTGCCCTTGATTCAACATAGGCAAGATGGCACCGTAGAGACCTGGGGGATGCCACATCTTGGTGGCGACTGCGCCCTCGTCTACGGCCAGCTGCGAAACGTTCGGCAGATCCAGGCATTGGGAGCTTCAACAACGGGGTTTAACCGAATTCCCTAAGAGGGCTCGGTCTCTTATGAGAGTTGCTACCAAGGTTCTATAAGGCTTCGAGCTGGAAGGTTGTGCCCTGGCACCGGAAACCTCAAATTTCATAAGTCTAAAACACACAAAGCCAAACCCCAACCTGCCCACGTGTGCACGGCTCGAAAAGTGTGGAATCATAGGATAGCCCGAAGTCACAGTACCACATTCAAAGTTTGTCACCCCTCGAGGTATAAAGCCCAACCCTGAACACAGTTTTACACAGTAGGTAGGTGCTTGGAGCTCTAGGTGGGGGTTTCCGAAAATAGGGGACCCTAATATAGTACCCTAAATAGTAGGATCCTCAGTATAAGGACCCCTAAAAATAAGGTACCCCCCTAATTTTCGGAAACTCCCAGGTAGCCTTCTGAACCCTAAACCCTAAACCTTCAGCCTTACGGCCATTTTGGCTCAAGCCATTTTGGCTCAAGTCTGTTTTGCGAGCTGTGATCGCGTGAGACCTTGCACACACCCCCCCCCCTCTTTGTCTGTTCTCTGTCGGTGAGGTGATGGCTCTTGACGAGGGTGGTGATTCGGTGATGGATGCCCCTACTCAGCCTGTCATTGACGCTGATGAGGAAGATGGTGACGATGATGAGAGTCCCCTAACACACGCATCCCCTGCAGCTGTTCGTGAAGTAGCTCCCGTTGAGGGACGGCGGCACCTTTCCCGGGAGGGGGTTTCCCTAGAGGGCCGCTTAACTTCGGAAGACATGCAAGCTAAGCACGAGGCCCTGCGGGACGCAGCCATTGCAGCAGAGGCTCTGAAGGCAGCAACATCTAATGACGTACTTCCTCTGACAAGCCCCAACCCTTACGCACTAGCTGCTGCATCCAACTCGTGCTTCCCGGGGGCTGCTCCTGCTGCACCCTCCCTTGCATTGCCCGTGCCTTCAAGAAAGCATAAAGACCGTCTGGAGAGTCCTGAGAAGAAACCCAAAACTGAAAAGAAGAAGCCCCTTGATGGCCCTAACAGGCTTGAGGCCCCCCCCCTTTTCGGGGGAGGGGGAGGAGGATCCCGACCTAACTCCCTTCAGCATGGACCCCCCCAAGTTTTTCACCTGGACCCCATGAATGCTGGAGTGCCTGACTGGGTTGGCGACCTCCGGTCGATGCTGGCTGGAGGACAGAAGGAGATTATGTCGGAGTTGCATACTCATAAGGCTCATTTGTCTTCGGTTTCCCAGCAAGTTCAAAGTTTGGATAAGAAGCAAGAGGATCTCTCGAAGGCACAGGGAGACATGGTTAACCGGCTCAACAACATGGAAGCAGAAGTTCGAGAACTGAAAACCCGCTCCCGTTCGGTTAGTCCCGCCCCTCCTCCCCCGGATCAGAGTCCGCGTTCTACGACGGCGAGCACTCTTGGAGGCAAACCGGTAGTGGACGACTTTCAGATAGTCATCGGAGGGTGGAACGACGCCAAAAGAGGGGATATCGAAGCAGAGATCAGACGCCTTTTCGAACTTATTGAAGCGAGCCCTCTACTCCAGAATATCCATGTGCCCTTTGTTCGCTCAAAGTTTGCTCGAGTGGAATTACTATATACTAACGGCAGCCTGGCAGAGAGGAGGAAAGTCCAGAACCTTGTTATTGAGGCACTTAAGAAGACTTTCAAGGATTTTAGGAGTGACATCTCTGGGCAGGCGGGGCGCCCTTTATGGGTCACTAGGAACAGGAGCAAGGAAGACAGGGAGAAGATTCGTGCCTTGGTAAGCATCAAGGATTGGGCGCTTAAGCATACTTCGGCTATCCTCATCGATCTGGATTGGAGAGGGAAGCTTTGGATCAGAGGGGAACAAGTCCTTTACTGGCACCTGTTTTCCAAGCCTGGTGATGGATCCATGATGCTTACGAATGCTGCGGGTGATGAGACGGGATGGTGGGTTGACGTGCGACAGCTTGCCCGTATACTCTCAATTTCCCCTGACCAAGTTAGAGATGAACTCATGGATTGACTAGATCGCAGTAGAACAGCAAAACGACGCATGAAAGAGATTTGCATGAACGAATTTGTTTTTCTTACTTGGAACCTGCATGGGAAACACCTTTCCAGTGTTCGCAACCTTCTGGATCGCACTGAGGACCCCCCTGAAGCTCTGGCCTTTCAGGAGGTAGGGGGTTTCTCCGACCTGCCCCAAGGGGAGTGGAGGACAGAGACCTTGGACCTCAGTGGTGTGTCGTACAGAACCTTTGTGTTCCAGACACCCTTTTCGCATCGTTGCACGGCCCTGCTTTTCAGGCAAGATCTTTCCTTGGAAATTGTTCAGAGGCATGTCTTTGGCACCGGTTTCATCCTAGAAACCAAATCGCACGGGCGCACGTGGTGGCTAGGGTGTGGTCACCTTCCTCACCAACAGCGATCGGATGCAGAGGAGGTTTGGCTCTCTAGCCTTGCTAGAATTGACGAGATCCTTTCCTCGTCAAGAATTCAAGATGTCGTTCTTTTAGGCATGGACGTCAACCAGAATTTGATGCATGCTAACCCTTCCTTTCCCGCACTGTCCCGAATTCATCTCCTGTTCAGGTACCGCGGACTGGAATTTAATCCTGCATGTGGGAATACCTGGGAAGCGAGACATGAGGCTAGCTGCATAGATTGGATCCTCTTCAGGTGGCCGGTCATTGAGGTAGGTTTTCACCTGAGGCCCGACCTGCGAGAAGCCCTCCCCTCTGACCACAACCCACTTTTCGGAACCTTTCGAGGCAGAATGGGTATGACGGTTCGAGCCCCTCGGCCCAAACATGGGTGTGGTAGGTGGGCGACACCCTGCCTCCCTCTAGAGCAAGCTGCTTCTGACCCATCCTTTCAGTTCACCCAGGAAGCTTTTGCACATTTGTGCCAGAAGCATTCATACCGCCTTCCCACACTCCGTTATAAAGACCCACCCCATGTCCTGGAACTCATCAGGCAGAGGAAACTCGCAGCGGACCCGCAGGTACGCCAGAAGTTTTGTGAAGACATTTTGGAGGCTCGTAGATTGGCACAAAAGAAACATAAGCTTGATCTACTTGAAGCTGCCAGACAAGGCGATCGTGGGGCAATAGGGCATCTCCGCCGCAGTAGTCTGCAGAGCCATTCCGACGGTAGTTTGATTGAACGACTTGGTGGCGACGATGCAGCCTACGAAGCCTTTAAATCCTTCTACTCTAAAAAGTATCAACTTGGATCTTCTGACACGCCTGTCAGCACCACACAAAATGAGGCGCTGAAGAGTAAGCACTCCACAGCCCCCTTCGTCCCTATCTCACAGGAGGAAGTAGCAGAGGCCTTGGCCAATGTCAAGCCCAGCACCGCCACAGGGCTGGACTCAGTATGCTATTCAGCGATCAGATGTTTCCACTCTCAAGATCATTCGGGCAAGCTGTGCAGTTTCTTCAACAGTATTCTTGATGGGACACATCCTGTCCCCTCTGACTGGGTTACAGGTAAAATCTGCCTCATACCGAAGATTGGACGTCCCCAAAGAGTCCAAGATATGCGCCCCATCAGCCTAACTCCCTGTTTAGGAAAAGTCTTCTCCAAGATCCTGGTCAATCGCCTACGCGATAAATTCCCCCCCTATGGGGCGGGACAACATGCCTGTCGACCTGGGACCCAGGTCATTGAGGCGATCGCTTGCGCGATGTCCTCAATGAAGATCTATAAACAACACACGGGGAGGCAGTTGTTGGTATGCAAGCTGGATATCAGTCAGGCTTTTGACACGCTGTCTCATCAGGCGATCTGGAGATATCTGTATGACACTGAGGCTTCTGCAGAGACCTTTGCGTTGTGGACCATGTGTCAAAACACCAAGGTATGCCTGCAGATAGGTTCGCACCTCTGGACCCAAGACCTCCAGAGGGGGGTGCTGCAAGGGACCTCCTTCAGTGCAGACCTCTTTTCTCGGGTCTTAGACTACTTTTGCACAGGGCTCGTTGAACGTTGGCGCGCATCTCAGCATCCAGCTTTTCTGAAGTTTCAGTTGCCTCATGCCCTGCTTTTTGCCGATGACATTCTGCTTTTTGCGGCAACAGAAAAAGAGATGCAATCGAAGCTGCATGCCCTCCAACTTACACTCGAATCCATAGGATTGAAGCTAAATTTGGCTAAGTGCTCGGTCCTTGACAATGAGGATGGCACCACTCCGGGAGTGTGGGGGCGCAAATCATGCACCCCCTTGCAAGGGGTCAGCCACCTGCTTTACCTGGGCGTTCCTCTTAGCTACAAAGCGACTCCGCTTGGTCAGCTAGGGGTATCTCTGGCAAAGCTGTCTTCGGCTTTCTTTGGCCTCCGGAGACTCTTCGACCACCCGGACACACCTGTTCATGAGAAGTTGTTGCTTTTCCAGACATACATCACATCCAAATGGACCTGGTGTTCTCCCACTATTTTCCCCTCGCGGAAATCCCTTCGTAGCTTGGAATCCTTTAAGCACACCTTGCTCCTTTCATTGTTGAAGTTACAAAGTGACCCTCTTCAAGGTTTCGTCATTAACACGATTGCAAGAAGGAGGGCCGTTAAGGTCTTGTGCGAAGTTCATAAATCAACGAGATGGGGAGAACTCTGGCTCAGTCGCCTATGGAGCTTTTGGGGCCATGTCCTGCGACAACAGCCGGTTATGCCTCTTGGCGCAGTCCTCCGAAACTGCTCCTCGTGGCGAGTTCTAACAGGCAGAACGGCAGCATCAGACCTACTGTTCTTTATACCAAGGAGACTTCAGCTCTTCTGGCAGCAAGTCAGGGACGAATCGCCTTTCCCCGATGTTGAGAGTCTGGCACAGGACAGGGTAGCCTGGTCTAGACTGCTCCCCAGGTGGCTGCAAAAGTGGGGCTACGGAGCTTCAGAGGTTGATCGTCTTCCGCCTAACTACCTTTATGACCGCCAGCTGCTGCTGATAGGAAAGAATCTCGCGGTCCTCCGCCCTGCGCGAGTTTTTCCTGACACGCCCTACAGTAGAGAATTGCAGCATGTACAACGGGGAACCCCGAGAGCTACACAGTGGACCCTATGGGGTCGACTGCTGGATGAGGGATGCTGCTTCACCATCATCCCCCCTAAACGGATCTCGAAGCAGTCGGTGCATTTGCAGGTTCGCTACCCTGCTCTGGATTGCACGTCCAGACGCCTCTGCTTTTGGGAATCGGTTCATGCCTTTTGGAAGTGGTTCCCGGAACTGCAGGATAATAGAGCAGCGTGTTTTCTTCCTGCGCAGGTTTTTGCAGCCCATATCTTTGCACACCAAGTCCCTTTAGCCTCCCTATCCCAAACCCAATGCCTTGACAGGTGCGAAGTTGAGGTCGACCTTCTGTCATTCTGCTACCTACATCCGAAACAGACACCGACGTGGCTCGAAAACCATCTGCCCACTACCCATGGCCCCTTCCCTGGAACCTACAAGTTCTTAATCAGAAGGAACGACTTCTCCGAAGCCAAGTACTTTGAGACTTTGCCAGTTACACTGTAGGGCTTGGTGGAGGGTGTTTGGCTTTGGACGCTTCTAGACTCCACCTTCCCTTTCGGAATTAGGCATGTTTCTCTCTCTACCCTTTTGCTGTAAGTACCGCCCTTTTGTAGGAAGGAGAGGGAGGGGGGGGGGGGCAGGACGGCCAACTTATTGCTCTCTCTGGTAGCATTCTGGCCGAACTGCATCAGCAAGTCTAGATTTTCGCCCCCCCTGTGCATTTTGCCATGGCCCCAGCCATGGATGTCCAGGCAGAGAATCCGACGACACAGGTCCGACTCAGGACCTCACCTCAGGCACCGCCGTCGCCGCCACCTCTCCCGGGGAACGTGGAGCAAGGCTACGCAGTGTGGGGTCTCCTGGATCAGCAGATTCTGACGCAGGTTTTCACTGTCTTACTGACCCTGCTAGTGGTGGCAGGGGTAAGACATATTACAGCATGGTGGAATGGGCCAGACAAACCCAAAGGTGCACCTAAGAATGTCGATACACCCAGCGCGGCAGCCTCCGATGACCCGAAGAGAGCCATGGAGGAAACACCGAAAGACAGCAAGCAGGGGACCCCTGAGACCTCTGCCAAGCCAGATAAGAGCACAGTGGTGGATGACCCGGTCCCGCCGAAAACTACAGGGACCCCGACAAACCCACCTGCCAAGACGCAAGCTGGACCTGGAACGAATGCCGGTGGAGCTGACAAGAAGCCCGATGGAACTGGAGCCACTGACAGTAAAGCCAAGGCTGCAGGTGCTGATCCAGCTCCTGCCCCGGTAGTGACACCCCAGGCCCTCATGCAAGAAATCCAGGCGGTCCACAAGCTGCTCAAATCGGGGGCAGATGGGGGAACCAGCCAGGAGATGAAGAAGGAGATGGACAACCTCCGCAAGGATGTCACCACGATCATGAAGTTCCTCTCTTCGAGTGACAAAGACCTGAAAGACCTTTCGGGTCGCATATCGGCGATGGAGACAGTGCTCGGGGCTGTGAATGCCAGAGTGTGTACCCTCTCGTCCAACCTGGATATACATGCCAAGGCGACGGAGTCGTACCTCAAAGAGGCCCTCAAGAGCATCTCTGTAATAGGTGGAGCAGCGAAAACCTTCCATGCAGACACCCAAGTGCTGATAGGAGCGAAACACGACAATTTGGAGCAGGGGATCAAGTCCTGTATCAACAAGGTGACGAATTGCGACTATGAGTCGCATACTGCGCTGTCCAAAACCCTGAGCGATCTCAGCAAGCAGACCTACGACATGGGCCAAGAGTTGCTGGCGGCCCTACACTTCGTTCAGGGCGAGCAGGGTACTATGAAGGACAACCTGTGGCAGATTGCCAATGTTCTCGGGGACACGGTGGAGCAGGTGAGGATCATTCGTGATTACTGCGAGAGGCCTGTCCCAGTGAACGTACAGGCAACGGCACCAGCAGCGGGCATGCCACCTCCTCCTACCTACGAGCCCAGCATACACGGAGCCAGACAGCAGCTGCACCTCCAGACAGCCATTCCTTTGGCCCGAGGAAGTGGAAGTGCCGCAGCATCCCAAACGGCCCCGCAGGTGAATATCGACATGGGAGATGGGCGTACTATCAATATTCCCGTGCACAGATAGTCTGCCGTAGTGTCACAAGACATAATAATCGCATGCTTGAGGGCAACAGCTGTGTGGATCCTTTGCTTTTATCGAGTCCTAGCCTTTTGCAAACGCCCTGCATGCATGCCTGAATTTAATGCATGTCTTGCGTACTGTGCATGCCCTTGCCCTTTCCCTTTGCACTGGCACTGAACTCCTGAACTTTCTTATGCTCCTTGGTTATCGAGTCTTGTTGTTTTGACCCTGGAGTCCCAGTGCCTGAAGCGCGCAGTCTCAGAAGGCGAGCCTTCCTATGCTCCCGAGCATCGTTGCACGCTGCACTTGATTGCACACGCTTCCCTTTGCATGGTACTGGTACTGAGGCAACAGATTTGAAAAGAGCGACCACCGCAGACATGTATGCAGGACCTCTTGTGTGATATCTTTCCTGTAGAACCCTGGTCCTTGCTGCGTAACCTCCTGGAGTGCCTAACTCACATGTAGTGTGTGTGCCCGAGCTTTCGGTTGTTCAAGCAAGCCCTGTAGCCCACTGATTGTAACAGGCCCTGAGCCCTGCAGTTTGAGTCACTGCCCAATGGATGAAGGGTTTGATTTTCAGATTGCATCTTACCTCTCTCCCTTTGAACCTCTGCTTGGTGATGAACTCCTGGGAGTGCTTGAAACCATGCCTGAACACATGGCCCATCAATTCGCAGTGGAGTTTAGGTACTATCTGGGAGCGATGCGTAGATCCTGGAGTTGGCACTTCTCTTTCCTTTTTGAAATGCACCTCTACTGCCTGTCATTGGAGCGTACACTACAGGACTACCACCGT